GCTGGTCGTAACCCGAAAAGTTCATTAACAGAGGCGTTCGTAACCCGAGGTTCCACTGTACTTCTAAGTTGTACAGACAGGAGTTGGCATTATAGAAATTATTTCAATTTTTGTATTTTTATTAGGCACTGGAAATGACAAAGCATTTCCTATTACCAAGCAATGTAAGACATCCACTTCTTTCCTCATGTTTTCTGACATATGCAGGTAATACAGAGGAGAGAGTTCAGTGACAAACACAAATTATGGCTTTCCCAGGAAGCCAAACCACAAACCTTGATGTTTCATTTCTATCAATGTACCTCACAAATGTAAAAATTACTGTAATATTATAAGAACTTTTTCTAATACATACATCCCTGAATATTCAAATATAAACTTAAAACATTATATACCTACCAGCAACCCTCTCAGAGGAATAATAGTTTCCAAAAACCTCATACTGGATATCTACAGATGGCACAGTATTAGGATGAGTCACTTCAATTGTCAGTAAAATGCCCATCAACAAATTCACCACCTGCAAGAGAAAAAAATAAATATAATCCTTACATTTAATTATAAATAAAACACTAAATTTAGCAAAATATTGTTAGTATGAGGTAGTTCAATATTTAAGTGTAAATTTAAGTACTCAAGGTTTACTCAAAAAAAAGCCCAAGTTGAAAATGAGATGATCCCTTGATAGTTCAGAATTCCAGCCTGCCTATTTCCTTTTATAGCAATAGCTCAAGCTTTAATATTCTGTTGACTGCAAGAATAGTTGTAAACTTGCATTGTCAATCAAGTAGAACATTTAATAACTTTCCTATACATACACAGCAGTTATCATTTAACTGTGCTCCTATCAGAAATTGCAATAACTTTACCCTTTGCTGAAGGGGGGGAAAAAACTTATTTGAGACCTGGAAAGGAATGTATGTTGCTTTCACATTACCTTTAACCCCAAAGCAAAAGTATTAGTGGGGCATTATTGCAGGCATATTTCCCAGCCTTTTCAAATTGCAAGGCATAGCAACAAATGTGCCTAAGGATATTAGAGGATTTGCTTATTCAGACTCTGGCTTACTGGATAAGGAAAGAAAGAAGAAAAAAATTAATAAGAGCTAAGGCAATATCAAGTCAGAGGCAGTTTGGTGCAGTAGTTAAGGCATCAGGCTAGAAACCGGGAGATTGTGAGTTTGAGTCCTGCCTTAGGCACAAAGCCAGCTGGGTGACCCTGGGCCAGTCACTCTCTCTCAGCCCTAGCAAGCAGGCAAGAGCAAACCACTTCCAAAAAACCTTGCCAAGAAAACTGCAGGGACTTGTCCAGCAGTCATCCAGAGTCAATGAAAAAACAAACAAAAAGGTAATACAGGCAGCCCTCACTTAATGACCATAATTGGGCCCAAAATTTAGGTTGCTAAGTGATGAGGTCATTAAGTGAATTATCACATGACTGCTTCACTTAGCGACCACAATCCCGGCAGTCCCGGTTACTATTGTTAAGTAAATGCCCCAGTTGTTAGGCAAGTCAACTTCCAGCTCCCCATAATCAAGTCAGTGGGGAAGCTGGCAGGAAGTTGCAAGCCCCAGGCACTGCTGGGTGGCAGAGGGGGAAAGGGAGCAAGCGGATGCATGGGAGGGTTGGTGAGGGTGTGCAGGTGTCTGGTGTGGGTCGGGTACACAATGGCCTCAGAGCCACTTGGATTTTCAGCCCCAGAGTCAAGAGGCTTCTGAAGCCTCTCCACTCCAGGGCTGAAAATCCTCCGTAACCCAAACCTAACCCTGCTTGGATTTCAGCATGGAGCTTTTTCAGCCAGCCCCTAGAGACAAGAGGGAGTCCTCTTGGCAGGCAGCAGCGGCTTGCAGTTGTCAAGCACCCCGTGATCACATGATTGCCATTTTCAATCTTCATGGTGGCTTCCCCAGAAAGTCAATGGAGAAGCCGGCAGGGAAGGTTGCAAGCTGCTGCCGACTGCCGAGAGGATTCCCTCTCAACTCTGGGGGCTGGCTGAAAAGGCTGCGTGCCAAACCAGGACCAGGGACAAGCTGAATGGAAGCACTTTGAAATCAAAATGATTTAAATGAGCAAATGTGTTTGGCAAAATGAGTGCAACACGCATAGATCACGAGTGCAGACAGATCCCATGGACAAATTTTATTTTGGAAGCTTGACTCCCTATAAAAATTTTCACCAACCTTAATCACAAAAGATGTTTTAGCCAATCACTCTTATAACACTCTTTAGATGTTGAGTTTATTGGGTGAGCTTTTCACCAGAACAGTTTTTTAAAAGGTAATTTAAGGGCTAACCAGACCTCAGGGGGCATACTGTTCCCTAGAGAAAAGACTGCTACTGACAAAGTCATTCTCCAGGTCTCAGCCCACATAATCTTCCATGGGTGGGTACCTAAAGCATCCTCCTCATTTTAGATCATGTAAGGTAGGCAGATTCTACCTGCAGAGTTATTACCAAAAGTAACAAGAGCCCAAGCCATATAAGGCTTTATAGATAACAGCAGTTATTTTGAACCAAACTCTGAAGCCTACCAAGAAACAATGCAACTCCAGAGAAATAGGCATTATTCTGCTGAACCAGTTTACACTGATCAGCAAGCAGGCAACTTCATTCTGTGCCAAATGCAGAGAGAAGCCCCATGTAAAGCAAATCAGTCTAGCCGAAATATAACAAAGGAATAAGTCACTGTCTTCAGTGCCTTCTGTCCCCGAAATGGCATAACTGAAATACCTGTTGAAGTTTGCCAAAGGCGTTCTTGGCTAGTTTCCATCTGTTACACTGTTACAGCAGGATTCATGATTCCAGAAAAACCCTATCTGGAGTAGCAGGTGAAGTATCCATGCAACAAAAGGGTTTCTGTACTAACAGTAATTCCATTCTGCTAGGATTCAGTCAAATATTATTACTTTGGTCATTACTTGGTCAGGAATAACATTAAACCAATTGACTTCAAGGCTTCTACTATGACAAAGTTTGATTCCAAACCAATGAACCTTGCTTTTATGGAGCTACTTTTATATATGAGTTCCAATGCTCTATTCTGACTCTCTCTCTTGAACACAATGGCATCACAATATACAGGAGGAACAGTGCCATTATGAAATCTTCATTCACACATATGGCACAAGTTTCAAACTAAGGATTAATTGTTTTCAAGAGACAGAATTACTGGAAACACCCACACCAAGCTAGGAGTGAGCCAACTGCTGTGGACCCTCGGGTTACGAACGCTTCTGTTAACAAACTTTTCGGGTTCCGACCAGCTCCAGCCGCAAAATTTTGCCTCGGTTTGCGAACTCTGCCTTGGGGTACGAACAGGATACGCGGCCATTTTTACGCCCCTGACACGTGGTCCGCGGCCATTTTTCCGCCCCTGACACGTGGTCCGCGACCATTTTCCGCCCCTGACATGTGGTCATAGGGAGGGGGACTCTCCCTCCAAGCCATAGCCGCCTCCCTGTCCTCCACGCCAGAACAGATTAATGGTAATTACATTGAACCTTATGGGGAAATCTGCTTCGGGTTGCGGCCAGAGTCACGGAACGAATTAAGTTCGTAAACCGAGGTTCCACTGTATTTGCAATATTCTACAATAATTAGATGAAAATGTGTGTCCAGTAAATGTTCACGCTCTTCTGGTTTTCCTTAACATGTATTTTACATTGTAAATGTTTAGAGTAGGGATCCACTCCTTATTTTAAAAAGTGCCATATACAGATATCATGTTACATGATCTAAAATATGGTTTTGCAACTCTGATTTCAAATGTTTTTTTCTAACAATCAATAAGCAAGTTGGTGTCAAACAGGATTATTTGTAGAACTTCAGGTTCTCCAGTCCATCTCATTCATCACTGGGATTAAGGAAATATTGTTTTTCTTTTAAAAAGCAAAGGTAGCCAGAATGGCTTTAAGACATTCCAAAATCTATATTAAGCCAAGGTTAATTTAACATTATATAGGATTGCTATCTAACTTGAAAGATGCTAACTTGAAAGATTGTGCACACTTTTTGGATATCAGTTTATAAAAGTACTATCTTAACACTGAATATGATATTTTCTTTTCTATGCAATACTGTGGGACTTTCCTATTTCATCATTATCAAAATCCCAATGCGTTTATTTAGTAGCAGGACTGAGAAGTACTGATGACATGATTCAACAAACCTCTAGTTTTTGACCACGAATGATAGTGCCTCCCAAAGCATCTGATAATCTAACCCCATACTGACAGGCCTGATTGGATAGAATTCAGCTTGACTGGACAAAAATAATCAGTTCCCAATAGATGCTCTACATTATTTATTTACTGAGAAACTGATACAGCTGCCCAACATGCATAATTGTGACTCTGGGCAGCGTGCATATAATACTGGAGAAAAATTGTATAATATCAACAAAAAATAAAAACCATAAGACCTAATTATCTTTTAATGGGGAACACTTGGAAAAAGAGATCTACCACTGAGATTTTAAATCACAATGCCACCCTATCTTTAATACATGCATTTTTAAAATAAGATATCCCTTTTTATTTTACTAAATATTTAAAACTAATATTTGGAGTGTGATAGATGATGATGATGATGATATTTTGTGCCTAAATTCTACAGCGGCATTGGCCAAGATTCTTTTGATTGGAATTGCTGAAAATCAACACCACAATTATTTATCATTCTGAGAAAAGAAATTCATGGAAACTGCAGTGGAATCCCTAATTAGTCCTAAATATACTTTAAAAATAAAGAAAACTAGACTTTCTTTCCATAAACACAGGAGAAAAAAAACAAGAAAACCCTGTCTTTGCCAATCTGTGGGTACAACCTCCTCAATGTTCATCAGTGCCTTGGGTCCTGCAGCCCTTGCCTCACCAAGTGCTCAAAGCAGCCACCAGCCACCATAATGCAACCCATCAGAGTTGTAAATTTGCATCTATAACATATAAATAAGATAATCAATAGTAATACACTAACCAAAAAGAAATTTGCAGGTGACTTTTGCAATAGGTATAATTTTTATTGCATTTCTTTTACTAAACATGATAAAGGAACATTTATATCAAAAGCTAAAAAAAAAAAAGAACAAAAATCACTCCAGTTCCTTCAGTAGATGCAAATAATGACAAGTCTAACTTATTTAAAATATTCAAAATTATTTGAAAATTTGCCATATGTTCACCTCTTTCTCTGCCTATAAATATCACATTCTTTTTAAAATTAAAGGTAATCTTTCAAAAGTCAGTATGTATTATTTTTTAAAAAATATATTCCATAGAAAGCTCAGAGGAATATGGATCAATAATTTAGGCCATGTATATAGAATACAATATAAAGTATTCTAGAAAATCGTAATAATCAAGCCAACGCTTTCAGAACATATAAATGAGATGTGATTAAATAAAGATGTGACACATGGTTTTATAATACAGACTACAGAATTCTTTTACAGTGTTCAAATAAAGATTTAGTTAGCTTAATTTAGCTTAAAGAGTTTATTATAATCTGTAATACAAACAAAACAAAAATGCCTCATGAACAACCAAATATTATGTGATAATGTGTATTGCAAGCAACCAATGAATTCTTCTCCACATTTTATCACAGATGTTACATCTCTCATTTGATATTACAACTTTCCAGATCAAAGCAGATCATAGATTAAATATTTTTTCACTTCTCAGCTGCCACTACAGGGCTACTGAAGAACTATTTTGTCCTGAGGGAAGGAGAAATAATACCTTTGACATGCTCCTTCTGTTATCTTCTCTGTTTATTATATAACTATTACTAGATTTTATTACACTAGGGTTACATGCAAAGACACTAAATATCTTCAAGGAAATGTTCAAAAATTGTAATAGGGAGATACAGTCCCAATAATTTCCAGATACCAAACATATTTGTAATTAAACCTGGTTACATAAGACCTGCTACAATCTTTACAGCTAACAATTATTATGCAATACTGTACAGATGTACTGAATCACCACACAGAAAACAAATCTAAATAAAAACTTCTATACTGCAAAAATTCATCTGTTCAGTATGGTCTATCTTATTTGCAATGACTCCAATAATAATAAATATGAAAGTACATTAAACCTTTTTTTCAGAAATGCTTAGAGAAAAGCTTTAAAGGAAGCTTAATTTTAAAACTGTGATACTGTAATACTTTAGAACTGCCTTTCGAAGAGAAGAGAAGAGAAGAGAAGAGAAGAGAAGAGAAGAGAAGAGAAGAGAAGAGAAATCCTATAAATAATTTAATATTAAGGAAAATCTACTGTTCAAGATGAAATTTTAGAAAGACGTACTGCCTAAAGATTGTATTCACAGCAACTAAATCTTGTACCTTTAGTGAATTTAGCAATCTACAAGAATGGCACATAATACCAATGTTTTATTCTTGCCCAATGAGAATGAATACAAACCTTTATCTACACAGACAACTGATTCAAATTTGGACAAACAATCCAAATTCTTCTTCTGATGTAAAACTGATTACTAAACTGGAGTCAACTTTTGTTCTCATTCTTTATTTAACTCTCCTACAATTATTTAATTCTTGTGGGAAGCTGTCAGCTCCCCCACCACAGATATTACAAACAGATGACAACTCTAAGATCAGATGTCTTCAATATATTGGGTTTGGTAATATCTATCCCTGACACAAATAATGTCTATTGATTTTAAAAGAATATAGATCTTTACACATCTATTTAACCTACAGAGCTGGAACCACAGTTTTTCACTTGTCTTTCTAGTCTGTAAGAGCTCTTCAAGGACGCACTCTCTTCAGGCACTATTATCAGTAGGACAGAAATGGAACAGCTAATCAAGGACACATCTCTGAAGCAGCACCATTCTCCAAGGTGGTCTCTGTTGCACTAATCTTAAAAGAGCAGCAAGATGGATTGCATGGATATAAGAGGAACATTTAGGAATTCCTAGATGGTTAGGTTAAACTTTTATCTTGCAGACACTCTAATGCAGAGGAATACAAAGGAATTCTGTAATCTGCTGCATGAGAACTGTTCCACTGCCTAAATAGCTCCTCCCAGTCAGTATGAAGATGCAATCCTTTACTAAAGGAAATGGAACACAGTGTTAAGCCAAATGCAGGCCAACACTAACTTGTATATTAACAATCCAAAACATCTAAATGTTTCTTATGAAGGAAAAGTAGTTAAATTGAAAATTGACTCAGTTTCTTTCCATTAAACCTCCTCCCAGAACTGTAAGTCTGTTGTTGTGAGTCTACAGAAGTATAAATCATGACATATTTTATAAACTATATCATTATATTACTTTGTAAAACTCATTATAAAATTATAATAAATATTTCTTTATCACCCTCAGGCCATATATTACTATCTAAAAAACAAGCTTAAAGTCAGCTTTTTCTCAGATAAATTTTTCAACATATCTACACCAGACTTGAGACACTAGTGATTACTTCCAAGCCCATAGGTACCTTTTAGGGACAAGGGACATGAAGGTCCACTAAGAGATTCTCATCCATCTCACAAAGCTACAGCTTATTGGATCACCTGGGGGAACCCCCCCCCCCAATTAAATTGGATGAAAATCAATGCAAATCCTTATTATGCAGATGCGCCACAATGCAGCACTCAGGCACAGATAAGATAAAATCATATTGAGTTGAGCTTGACTCCTGGTGACTTCATGAATACATCCATGCAGTTTTCTCAATGAAAGCTTAGGTAGTCTAGATTTTTTTTTCACTTCCCAGTTTAGCCTATTACCTTGTATTCATCAATAGTCTCTCATCAAAGTATTAAGCAGGCCTGACCTTGACTAGGTTAGTGAATATGCTACCAATTTGTTTTCTTTTATTTCAGATCCATTTTAAAAGACAATGTTTTGAAATGTATGGTTTTATTCCTCTATCTATTTGCTCCTTATATATAAGCTCTTGATATTTCTTTATAAGCTTACAAAAAGCATCCAAACATATACCTAAATATGAAGTGCTTTTTGAACTCTTATAGGCAGTAATACGCATGCTATGCAGCTAGTCCTTGTTTAATGTCCACTTGTTCAGCAACTGAAGTTATGATGGTGCTGAAGGAGGAGTACTTACGACCAGTCCTCACAGTTGCGGCTGTTGCAGCATCCCTGTGGTCACATGATCGTAATTTGGGTGCTTGGCAACTGGCTCACAATTTCAACGTCACAGTGTCCCACAGTCATGTCATCGTCATTTGCGACCTTCACTGGCAGCTTCCAACAAGCAGTCACTGGGGAAGCTGGCAGGAGGTCACAAATGGCAATCGCATGACAGCGGGCTGCTCTGTCCATGCGGGATTCACCTAATGATGGCAACTGGGACTGCTGGAACTGCTGTTGTAACTCAGCGTGGTCATACGTTGTGCCTTATGCCCACGTGATCCCAATTACCACTGGCGAGCAAGGATTGTCTGTATATAGCATGCCACTAAATATGAACTGTTGAGAACCAACAGAGAAGGGTGGCTATTCACTTCCTGTCTATGGTTTTCTGGAAGCATGTTAACCAGTCTGAGAAACAGAATACTGAACTACACGAAGCTTTCCTCACAGCTCTTTATATTATCCAGTACTTGTCTTCAAGTCAAAGACCATTAGGGTAAAAGGAGATTAAAAAATACAGCAAGAATTAGCATCTGGAGTCCATGGCATTCAAAAGCAGAATTGAAACTTTATTGCCACTGTCCAGTCACAGTCTGTAATCCTATGCCTTTCTCTGAAGTACTGCAACACCTGAACGTAATACTGTAAGATGGTTAACAGGCTATTGTAAACTGACATAATAACCCTTTAGCATGAACTTCAGCAAAACCCATTTCTTTCTATTTGTACGAATTTATCGACAGAAACACTGGAATTTCTCCCAGAAGACACTGGGCACGCGCAAAATGAAAGACGAAGGGCATGCGCCGTAGGAAACATCGCTCAGCGCCTCACCCCACAATCCATTCTTCTCCCCCTTCCGCCCCATCTTCGCCCGCGCATGCTCAAAGCGACACAAGTGCGCTCTCTCCCCCTCCTGTTGTCTTATTCCTCTTACCATATACCAGGTCCCCAAAATGATAGTACCGGTGCGGACATGACAACAACCACAGCAGCGGGTGCTGTAGAAACGATCTCGACTCCGCTTGAACGTCATTGCTGTATTGGCGGCGGCGCAACCTTCCCCTCCTCCTCAAACTGAACGCCGAAGTGAGGCGACTCCACCTCCACAGTTAGCGCGAGGGCCGAGCCAGCGCTACGTCCCACAGAAATTCTAACCAATCAACCGGCGGAGAAGGAAGCAAAGCTCTGCGCTTGCTGGGCGGGACAAAGGAGGATAATATCACCGTAGCCGGCCAATGAAAAAGCGCTCATCTGTTTTGGCCCCCACCGTGCTTTAGTCCTGGCGAAAGGGCGCGCGTCCGGAGGGCCTGCTGCCTTCCCTCCGCGCTGAGGCTCTTCGGAGCTTCAGCGTTTGCGTTTTGAGCTTGGCTCAAGCTTATCTGGAAACAAAAGCCGCTGCTTTCGGGGCGTGGGGGATGCGGTCTTGGCGTGACTCAGAGCCAACCAGATCTCGGCTGCAGTCTTCCGGGCGATCTATACATTGCTGCCGCCTGATTACGTCAGCCTGTATCTGGTGGTCCTAATAAAGGAGAAATAGGAACGCTACCGGAGATTACGCAAGAGCTGTTATTTGATTGATTGAAACTGGTTTTCGTTTTCTGCTGGTGGGCCTTATATTTCGTGCTCTTTTTACCTAGAGCAGACTTGGTCTTGCAGTCCCTGACTCTCTCGACGCTGCAAAGAGAAAGTTGTGTGTGTTGATGTGGCTCTACAGTGTCCCCTAGGGACTCTAGATTGGGAAGACTGAATAAATCAAAATCTCTCTTTCCTTTCCCAGTATACATCTCAGATACCAGCTGCTTTCACACACAATCCTATCCAGCTAGAGGTCAGCTTCTTAAATCTTTGGTCAAATCAGCTGTCCCCTAAGTAAATTTTTAAAAAATGATCTAAAAAGGAAAAGCAACCAAAAGAGGACAGGCTCACTTGGCATTAAAGCAGGAAACCAAGAGGATCTGTCCTACCATTTTTTTCTCCAGTTATGTAACTCTGCATTTGTTTTGAAAACCACGGATTTATTCAAGTGGGTAACATTTCATTTTGAATTATGAGCTTAATGTTGCCTTCCCTAGTTCTTTATGTTTTTTCTTTTCCCAAAGTAATTCTATAGCTGCACATTTTTATATTCTCAAAGGAAAAAAGTCATTAAAATCTTTGTGTGCAAGTTTGCATGGTTGCACATATACCCCTTGTGTTCTCAAATTATGGTTGTGTGAAGCCCTGTAGATACACATTAGGAAGCCAGTAAATTGCTCATCTGAATTCTCTGGAGAACCATCAAGGAGCTGCATCTTCTTCAAGTCTTGGTGGAGCCACTTCAGGGGCTCTGACATTGTCTGAGCATGCATGTGCGCACATACTGGACCCTTCTGATCATATTAGCATGGAAAGGAATGGGGAGAAAATAAGCCTAAGATATAAATATAAGATCTAGATCTTTGCTGAATCCTTGATTGAACACAGTTCAGTGAGAGATAGGTAGCCAAACTGCAAACAAGTTCTTAACTAAATTAATGAAGACATGTGTTTCTCTGCCACCTGGAATTAAAAGGAAGAGAAAGCAAGATGTTTGACTATAAGTAAGCCAATAAAATAAGCTCTGGTGTTGCATCACTCCCTGTACTGCAGCCAAATAATATGAACAGATCACGTTAACCATGGATTCTGTCTCCTAACTACAGAACCCAAGCAGGTATGTTCCCATGAATTGGTTAGTTTAGCTTTGTACTGTAGTACCAATGTTATCATTCAGGAGACTTCTAGGAAGAAAAGTGACTCATGCTGCTAGCGAACTACAATAATTATACATCTTACATAGGGTAAATTTAACTCATGTACAGTATACAGGTAGAACTTAAGGGTAGAACTCAAGAACTAGTTCCGTTCCCAGGGTCTGTCCTTAAGTCAAATTTGTATCTAAGATGGAACAGTATTATTGTATAATACTGTATAAGTAGTATTGTGTAATAAACTTGAACTATTGTGTACTTAACTTGAATTTTGCTACAATAGGCTCTGTTCTTAACTACGGGTCATCTGTAACCCAGGCATTCTTAATCTGGGGATTACTTATGTTCATGGTTGAATTAAAAACCAGTTTTTGTACTTCTAGTATTTCTTATACTATGGCCTTCAAGCTACAATTTATAAATTTGCAATTACTCCTGTTGCCACGTTATGCCATGTTACTTGGAACAGAAGTTTTCTGCAAAAATATCCAATGCTGGTGAAATGGAGTAACACGTGGACTGGCTTGCTACAAAGTTTTCAGCTATTATTTATTTATCCTTAAAGTAAAGGAATTTGAGGGTCAGCATTTTTTCAATTAAAATAGGTTATTTGTGCTTTTTGCTTTAGTGGTTTTTGTAACAGTGACTCTAATAAAGATACTCTGTTCATTTCAAACGTTTTCCAGAGTTTATGAGAGATAACCCATGGGAGTTACACAGGCAGGGCCTTGAAATTCAAGACCAGCTTTTTAAAATTTGGCCTGACCGTCAGAGGTTTGGAATGTTCTGTGGAATGATACACAGTTTGCAATGTTCAAAGTTTTTTTTATTACAGAAAAAAGCATGGAAGCAGACATTGCATGGACAGCAAGTGTACAAAACATAAGTGTCGTAAGATGTTGGCAACAGTCCCAGCTCCAACTGCTTTTCCTTTGAGAGGCATCTGGGTGTAGTATGTGTGGCAGCTACAGTTGCAGATGGCCTCACTCTTGAGTAGACTTACACTAGAGTTGACCATCTGCTTCAGCTGCCCCTGTCCTGACCAGGATGCTGCTCACCAGGTCCCCATCAGTCAAACTTCAGGGTTTCTTTCCTCTGCTTTACTTTGCTGTTAGATGAGCCTAAAAGTGGCTGGTCCAATGGACTGGGAAATGAGGAATCTTTAGGCTTCCTATTCATTTCCTCATTGGACTACATTACCCAAGCTCCTTTTCTCTTTTAAAGGGAAAGCAGTGGAGCCCTTTACCCAGATAGGCATTTCTTCTGTGTTGGTGGAGTGCTCAAATAAATTATTTGTGGATCCCATCAGCCTCTAACCTCTACCTTGACAGTTAGAAATTGGAAACTATTTCCCTGCTCGTAATGGATAAGCATTGTATGTCATTGTTCTACATCTCAGTAGCACACTGCTTTTGCTTTTTTGGTGAGGCAGGAAAAAGTTGCCTCTTCTCTGGCACTCGGCGTGTAGGTGACTACAGTAACTTACTTTAGTGAGAAAGGTTGTTTTTGCCCCTTTTTTGCTAATATGGCAACTCTGGCCATCCTCGTTGTTTTGTGTTTAGTTGGTGAATCTACAGGCTAGCAAAATAGCGGCAGAGCAGACAAGCTTTTTGAGTCCATGGGCCAGTCCCTCCCTCTCAGCCCTAGGAAAAAGCAGGCAATGGCAAACCACTTCCAAAAATCTTGCCAAGAAAACCGCAGGGACTTGTCCAGGCAGTCACCAGGAGTCAAGACTGACTCAAAGGTACATAAAAAAGAAAAAGAAAAAAGAAAAGCAGGTGTGAAATCCCAACATCCCATCCTCAGTCCTCCTGATTGCCTCAACATTGCATCTCCTTCACAATGGGCTTCCCCGGGTCTGCTGCTGCTTGGGAAAGCACAATTTTGCCTAACAATAGAGAAATAATCCCAGGTGCAAGGACAAGGACCTGCCTAGCTTCCCCAAATTGGCCAGCCAATCAGATTGCTAGGATTTCCCACCTTGCAGCCTTCAACGTCTAGAAAAATCTTTGCTTTCCCATTGTTCAGGGTTCCTCTTTCTTGTAAAGTAGGCAGCCAAGGATCTTGCAATAGATGTGGTTTGTTTTCCTCAGTGTTGTGCTCTGTACTTCTGAATTTTCCACAACAGTCCAAGAGATGGGACAACTGAGCTACAAGAAGGGACTAGCATGATTTTGCAAGTGCCCCTTCTCCTGTAACAAATACCTTATGCAATGCTGATGCTATGTTTTACCCTACCAGCTTCAGTACAGCTGTAAGAGTGATTATTTTTAGCTACAGTTAATAAAAACAAACTAACTTCAATCCATACTTTATAAAGCTGGTTTGTTTTCACTGATTATAGTTAAAATTAACCAAATTTTATAGTTAAAATTCACTGATTATAGTTAAACTGCTTGATTTAAAGGGAGAAGATTTGTTTCCCCATCTTCTCAAACCTACCCTAATGGAGTGAGTCTAGGGGGATTTCTAGATCCATTCTTGTAAAATTAAGCTATAGTTTAGTATACATACTAAATGTAGCCATTGAGTGGTGTTATGTGATTTGTTCCCCCCTTTCTAAATTGTACCACTAATTTATCTAACAATGTCTAGGTGGGAAAAATTACCCCAGTTTGAAGAAAACAAGGTATTTTTGGTAGTCCCTTCAATGACACTCTGGGTAGGCAATTCTAATAGGTATAAGGAATAGCGATTATATTTAAAAAGACCTAGTTTGGATGACCTTTCCAAACTAAGATTGTGCAAACATCCCCCCTGAACTCTTCCCATTTGCATCACTTAGTACTGGGTCCTGGTGAATTAATGGCAGAGTTAACACGGTAACATTCTCAGAGCCATAAATTCTTCCAGGGCCATTTCTTTTGTTAATCAGACATAACTGATGTCAGTCATTCATCTGCTCTTGCTAGAAGCTTCTTGGTCAACCAAAAAGGGTTGGGAAATAGCCTCCATCACCATTTTATTTGTTTGCCCTCATTTTTTTTTCCCAAGATAGGATTACCTGGACTAATAAGACTGTTATTTCAGGGCAGAAATCTCTCAGCAGATGAGAAGGAAGACCCCACCTCTCTACCTTGGGCTTGCTCTCGCTCTGCCCTGATGCACTCTTCTCTTCTTTTCATCCCCATCCATAGTGGAAGTCACTCAGAAGAAATTCAGAGAGATTTCTTCCTCCCTTGCCAGCCTTTTGGAATTTCCCAGAGAGAAAATTCTTTAAGCTCCCTGAAGCCAGACTTGAGCCCAGCCAGGGTGACCTGATGCAGGAGGCAGCCTGTCAGGGTCCTCCATTGAGCTGTACTTGCAGTATAACCCCAAGGAACTGGCTCGGCCTTCCAGAAATGAGCCAGATCCCTGTGGTACATTGGCTTCTTGGATTTGGGAAGCACAGTTTTCCAAGTTCTGCTGATTTGGGTTTCATAG